GAAGACGCAGTAACAGGGCAGCCCGGTACCATTTGTTCTGCGGACCGGGGGTTGGGGACCACTGTTCTAGAAGACTGTATTCCTGATGTTTTGCCTGCATCTGTGGCTGGCATCTTCAGAGAAATTTACCTCTTCTCTGAAAATGCCAGCCAGAGCCACAGGCAAAACATCAAGAATGCAGTCTTCTAGAACACGGCCTCACAGCCTAAAAAACCCACTAAAAACTATAGAGCTGTAGTGATTTGACATTGGCACTTGGAGGTTTTGATGCAGGCACATTAATTAATCTTCAGCATCCTTTGGGAGGATTACTTTGGTTCCATGACTCATTTGGACAATTGTTTGCCAATCCCAGGATTCCATAAAATGGAGACATAGCTGTTAAAGCAGTGTCAAAGGGCATTAATTCTGCTGTACATATGCAGCCTTGGTTTGCAATTCACAGAAAAAAGAGGTCCATCCCCACAGACTAAGTATTGCATTGGGGTGGGTGAGAGCTGTCATGATTTTATATTGGCACAAGAGAGTCCAGGAGAAACAGGGCAAAATAAATGTCCTTCTGAAGTCTTTCCCTGGACGGGGCAGCAAAGAGCTAATCGTCCAAGTACGGGAAGACTGTGATTCCCCCACTGGTGGAGGTAAGCTGCCACTGGAGCCATACACTTGGGGAAGCCTCTCGGTGCCATGGAGAATCCGAATGGGAGGACCCTTTACTGGTAGATCTTGGTCCCGATGGCAAAGGCAAGGAATCTCCTGTGATCCCACTGAATCCCAATGTGGAAATAGGCATCCTTGAGATGTAGGGTCACAAATTAGAGTCCTCTCTGTAAGCATGGCAAAATAGAAGCAAGGGCTACCACACAGAGGCGATGATAAACAATGAAGAAGTTTAACTGTCTTAAGTCAAGAATGGGTCTAATGCCCGAGTCTTTCAATGAAATAAAGGGGGGCAAGCAGTGATGGGCCTGAGTGGATTCCACAGGCTCGATCGCACCTATTTCTAATAAGGTGTGCACTTCATCAAGTAAGGTGCCTGAGGACATTATCACA